CCAAGAATCATTTGTGCAGAAATGATGTGGGCAGAGTTGGTCACGTGCATGGGATGCATGACTTTCCGTGCGACGTTCAACTGGACTGCAATAAGCGGACGACGGCAGCTGTCGAGCGCTGCAAACTCATCGAGAAGCGGCGAAAAAGCCCAAAGGCGAGAGAGGGGTTGCTTGTGAAAAGTTGACGGCCGCAGCACAAAACAAGAAGGGAAGGTGACGCAGATCGACACGAGACAAGTATGAGGCAAGGCAGGCACCGTGCTCGTTATCGTGCTCTTACTGCTGCTTGATGTGGAAAGCCCCGGCGTTCCCATAAGAAGGGGGTAAAGGGGGCAAGGAATGGGGCAGCACAAGATGTGGCGCTTTTGGCGTGTGTGCATCTTCACGATGAAACCCCGCCCCACTCAAACCCCAAACCCAAAATCGGAATAAATAAAAAAAAGTTCCGCTATCCTTCTCAGACGATGGTCAAGCCACCACGTGACCGTTGGCTCCCACAATGTGATGATGACTCATGAGGGGGACTGATTTGATTGTGTTTGATTGTACCATTGCTGCCCGCTATGCGTTTTGAGTTCAAACCCGTGTCCCGAGGCGCTCGCCGTTGTTGGAGTCGGATCTGGGCCATGCACAGCCGCCGCCGCCGCAGCAGCAGCAGCAGTAGCCGGGATCGCCCCATATGCCCGGCACCAACCCCCTTACTTCTGCCCTAATAAATTACAAGCATCAATATTTTAGGTTGAAGTAGATTACAACACTGAACCAAAGTAAGTTTATGTCGATGATATCAGAGTTGATGTACCTGCGTGACCGGAATCTAACATGACCTCGTGGTCTCTCTCTCTCTCTCTCTCTCTCTGTCTCTCTTTGTGTTTTTCATTCATTTTTTGCGTGACAAACACATGAAGCGTTGGCAAGATCGGTGGCAAGGACAATTCTCTGATATTGGGTTGTGATTACCTTGGTCCTCATCATATTGTCTTGATTGTACACATTTGTCTGAATTCGACTCTTGAAACATATTTTTCTCTGCTTTCCCATTATATACCCAGCTTGGTCTATCCCGATTCATCACCTCTCTCTCCACTTTCACCCATCCATAAACTACTCTCTCCAGTTGGCCCCATATATATCCCACTCTCTGATCAACCTACCCGCTCTCTCCCGCTCTCTCGCTCTCTCTCTCAACGCTAACCCTCGTGCTCTCTCTCTCTCCCTCTCTCTCTCTCTCTCACAATTTGCCGTCATCGCTGCGACTGCCCCGTTGGTGCTGCTCCAGCCCTTGCTCGTCATCGCCCCCGCCGTTCCGGCGCCACACACACACCTGCCGCTTTGGGCGCACCGACAGCATTTGATGCCATACATTGATTCGGTGGCCTTGCGTTCAAGATCGGCCAGAATCGAGTGCAGGTTGGTGCAAGCGTCCGCTTTGTGTTCGGATTCAGAGAAAGCGCGCGCGCACGGACCACATGGTCAGTGCGGACCCAACCAACCGCCGGGCATTGCTCACTTACTTGCACCCACACGGCGCTTCCCGTGCCGAACATCTGTATTCCCCTGGGTCTTCTCCTTATGTAGATTCTAGAGTCGGTTCCTCTCGTGTTGGCGTCTAGCCCCTCTCCCACCTCTCTCCGATCCTGACTCACGATCCGAGTGCTGGACTGCCCTTTGCGCGCTGCACACTCGCAAAGCGCCTCGATTTTTCAATTTTCATTTTTTTCACTTTCCCGAGCGTGGTCGTGTGCCGGGTAATGCGGGACCACACTGGGTCCTCGTGGGCCGAAAGGCTCTTCGACTACGTCTAAGCCTCGACCGCACCCCCACCTCTGCCCAATCCGGATCCTGCCCGTGTCTGCCCTGGTGCTTCTAATCCAACGTACCCATCAACACCATGGCCAAGGCTTTGGTTACCCGCTTCAACCCGAGGTGCGGCTATGCCCCACTCGCGCCCTCTGACCAATGCGACACACCACGTCGCCCATCTTCATAGTCCCATCCTTGCTCGCCCCCCTCAGGCAAAAGCAACAAGAGAATGTCACCATTGAAGCGCTGGCTCTCGTCCCCTGGAGCAAGCGCATGGGTGACCCCGTACCAGAGGTCGCAGCCTTGAAGACCATTGCTCACCTGGACAGCCACTACCGCCTCTGGTGCTGCCTTGATAATGGTGCCATTGAGGTACGCCCATGCCCATTGCGCCCTGCGATTCCGGCCCCAGGTTCATTGTGCCCGTCTTGCCTTGACACCCATTCCCAGATTGTCCTGCCCATTAGCGGCCGTCATGACAACACCATTCAAATACATTCCCAGCTCATTACCGCCATCCTTTACCACGACGGCTATGTCTGGACCGGTCCGTTTGTGCCATCGCTTCAACCCAATGTCATCACCATGTGCCTCTACCTCACCCACGTGTCCCTGGCGTGCGCTGAAACCGAACCCGCGCAAAATGATAGCGGCCTATGATGGAACCATCGCCGTGACCAATGCCCGCACCCACAAAATCCTTGACAAGCTCAAATTTCACTCCGACGCCGTCTCGTGTGTGCACAAGGTAACCTGCACTTCTTTCGCTGCCAATCTCTCAGACGGAAACCCTCAAATCCAGCGACCTGTTCGCCCTGTTTGCCCTTTGCTCGAGGAGAGCGAGGACGAACAAACCTCATCAGTGAGACACCAAAACTGCCGACAAGACTTCTCACGAGTGTGGCCTGCGCTTAGGATGACAAGGGCCGCATCTGGTTCGGATCCCTAAACGGGCAAATATCCTGCTGGGACCTCGTGGACCCTGCAGGCCGGAACCCCGAAGTTGTGGCGGTTGTCAATCTCGAGGCCTCGGAAGTGCGGGCTGCTCTCAAGGAAAATGAGCAGCTTCGCATTTATAGCCTTCGCTACCACCAAGACAAACTCTGGTGCGCTGCCCATCTTTCATCGAGTCTTCCTCAAGCGATGCATATCATTTCGCAACTTAGCTCCAACCCCACTTCTCACGCCCTCTTGCGCGTTCCCATCCCGCGGGCTACTCACGACCTAGGTTGGCCGCCGGCAGCACCATTGTGGTGTACGACCTGCAACTGCACCGAGCCATTCTACATCTACCCCACGGCATTGTACCGGCCCCGGCCACCCCAAACACATCCTCCACCACCAGCCACTCTGCCCATGCAGCAGACTTGTCCTCTTACACCTCATACTCACAGCGTGCCTCGGCTTCCACCGACCTGGACTCGCTGGCTGCTCTCAGCATGGCCGACACCATGTCTGTCGGCAGCAATATGAGTATGGCCTCGACGACTACGACAAAGTCCATGCCCGCTCCAGAGGACGATTCCATTCACCCAGCTGCGCTCGTGGCCTCGGCCATCGAACAACATCATCAACAGCAACAGCTGCACCAGCACCAGCAACACTTTCAACCTGCTTTGCCCCACCAACACCGCCCGCCCATGACCAACCGCTCGCGCGCCGGTTCAAACTCTAGCAAACTCAATGCTGCCGCCCAGCGGGCTATCAAGTTGCTCTCCAACTCTAGCAGCAACGATGGTCGATCCGGAAGCGATTCGCGCCGTGGCTCCATGCCGGCGCTCTCCAGCAACCGCGGCACTCTATCACCCACCGGCAGTCGCAACCGGCCTCTTTCTCCGAACCGCTTGTCCCCACACCCCGCCGGCAACGGGGGTCCCAGAGAACGCAGTAACTCCCTCTTTCGTGCGCGCGAGCGAGAGCAACTCGGTTTTCCTGATGCTGCCACTGCCAGTGGCCCCGTAGCTCAGGCCAACGCCTTCTTACGCCGCATGAAATCGGCCCGAGAGCACCAACGGCAACGTTCAGAAGCGCAGCCCACCGTGTCCTCCGGCCGACCCCCCAGTGGAGGCTCGGTGAGCTCCCTCGTCCTCCCAAACACTTCGCGCCCCTTGGCTGTCGAGCGCCCCCGTTCCGGAAGTACCAAGGCCGGCTTTGCTCCCTTTTCCACCGCCGGCGTTGTCTCCTCGGACAGTGGCCTAAACGCCGAATGGAAGCCCATTCAAGCTGAGCGCTTTGCCCGCTCGGCTGATACGAGCCCGCTCAAGATGCCAGTGCGTGACTCTGGTGTGGGCGAATCCATGCCACGCCCTTCTGCAGCGCGACCCCTCTTGCCCGACCTGAGCCAAGCCACCCATCCACGGCTCAGCACACTGACGAGCGCGAGTAGCAATCCCCCCGGTGCTATTTCTGCTCTGCCATCGCCACACTCCGTCGTCTCCGTTTTCGGCGAGGAAGAGGCACCCGCGGCCCAGGAAAGCAAGCCTTGGGCCAAGGATCGCCTCCGTAAAATTCTCGGCTTTCATGGCGGTGGCGCTGCCACCCTTTCACCTGATGAGCTTCCACGCTTCTATCGCCGTGGAGCCAATCTGGACGGTGAGGATTGCCCGACGCCACCCTCGTCCGTGTCCAACAAGAATTTGGTCTACCTGGGCAGCTCCTACTCGTCATTCGGCTCGCGCCGGAATGGTGACACCCGCCACATGACAGTGGCTGCGCATTGCCTGGAGCTCGGCGTGAACAACGATCTTTGGACCGGCTGTGAAAACTTGGGCATGGTCCAAGTCTGGAGCTTGACGGACGGCAACATGATCTGGGAGGTCCATGCCGATTGTGGTGGCATCGTTGTCCTGCGCCTCATCACTGGACGCATGTGGGCCGCATGTGCCACTGGCTCCCTCTTGGTATGGGACGCGGTCACCTACGAGCCTTTGCAGGAGATTGATGCACACGCCGATGCCGCACGCTTCCTGCTGCCTGTCAGTACCGATGTCCTACTCTCATCCGGCGCCTCACAGGACGGCACCATCGCTTGGTGGCAACTTTTGGCGCCAGGCCAGCAGCTGTCACTTGCGCACTTTTCGCCGTTTGAAGAGGAGCCCGTGGATGACGGCAAGAGCCGCCATGCCTTTATGGCATACAACCGCTATGGCTTTGCATTGGATACCTTTTTGCGTAACGAAGATGGCTCTTGGATGTTGATGCTGGACGACGAACTGCCCCCTAGTGCGCAGGCCACGATCACGGCGCGCGAGCACCGAAACAGCAGCTGGTTACAGCTCTTGGCAGACCACCCCAACTTGGAAGGGGTCTCTGAAGACTCACAACTGACCACCTGCGTTGCCAATGGCGTCCCGAATCAACATCGGTCAGTATCTGGCGCTGCTTTTGGCATTGCATGCCTGGAGATTGCGAAAAGCGACGCATCCATGGCATTAATGTGGCGTTTGCGCGCGCATTGCCTGTGTCCTTCTGAGGTCTTGCTGGCCATGACTCACCTCGCCTGGCCTTGCTCAATGCTGTGTGACGATGATAGGATCAGTGTGTGGTCGGTGTTGCTCAATCGTTGGATTGGGCAGGAGCGCGCCGCGCGTGGCGGCAACTATTACAACGAGCTCTGCCGTCGGGGCAAGAGTCCTTGCGATGCACAAATTATGCTCGATCTGCCACGCACTTTTCCCCACAATCGCTTTTTTCAGGATCGTCGCCGTCGTGGTTGGCGTTGTCTTCGGCGTGTGCTCAACAGCTTTGCGCTGCACAACGCTGAAATTGGCTACTGCCAAGGTTTCAATTTCATTGCCGCCTTTCTGCTACTCTTCTTGCCGGAGGAAGTGGCTTTCTGGTGCGTTCTTGTTTGTTGACCTGTACCCTTCGGCTTGATTTTTTTTTTTTTTTTTTTTTTTTTTTTTTTTTTTTTTTTTTCAAGGAGAGGGGAGGTCTCATCGGCTTCTCACGTGGATGTCCTTGTTCTACGACCCTTGATGGCGCCGGGCTTTGTATGACACAGGGGCATGGTCGCTTTGATTGACCACATTATGCCTGTGGGCTACTATGTCGATCCCATGATCTCGCCTCGTGCAGATCAACGCGTCATGGTGGACCTGGTCCAGGTTCATCTTCCTGCGCTGGGCGCCCGATTGGCCGAGCTCGAAGTGGTATGACACATGCATTGTGTTGTAGCACCGATGCGATTGTTGTTGTTGTTGTTGTTATTGTTGTTGTTGTTGTTGTTGTTGTTGTTGTTGTTGTTGTTGTTGTTGTCGTCGTCGTCGTCGTCGTCGTCGTCGTCGTCGCTCACGTCGCTCACGTCGCTCACGTCGCGTGTTGCCCCGGTAGGATCTGTCGCTGGTGACCTTTCAATGGTTCTTTGTAATGTTCGTGGACATGTGTGACACTGAGCTGACTCTACGCTTGTGGGACTTGATCTTTGTACATGGTCACAACGTGATTTTCCGCGTGGTCCTGGCATTGCTCAAGCTGCATGAAGCGCAGCTGCTGCAGGTATGAACTGTATCCTGCTTGTGCGCGCCCCTCAAGCGACTGCAGGCCCCGCCCTCTCTGATTGGTCAAGCAACCATCTTGGTGGTGGTGTTTTGCTTTGTTTATTTTTGTTTTTGTTTTTGTTTTTTGACATGTGAATGACTGCTCAATTGTCACTTCTTCTTCTTCTTCTTCTTCTTTGTATCCGGCGAAAACAGATGGAGGATCGCCAGGAAGTTTACATGCGCCTTCGGCGCTTGGGCTATGATGTTTCAACGCATTTGGACACCATCATCGAATTGGCCATGAGGTAGGTCTGCTCTGTGTAGGATGGAGACGCAGGCACTCGAAGCATCGGCTGTCACAAAGCATGGGCACATGGTCACTCACTTACCTGTGGTGTCTGTACAACAGCTTACCGCTGGATGACCAGCTGATTGTGGAGCGCTTTGATGCGCATGTGGAGGCCATTAGTCAAGAGGAACAGGACGTGCTGCGCCAACGGAAGTCCAAGAACGCTGTGAACGCAGCGGCTCCACCCTTGTCACCTGGCCTTCCCGGCTCCACCCCCGCATTTCCCATTGCAGGCTCGGTTCCAGTTAGCGCTGGACCCAACGCGGCGGCTCAGAGTGTTGTTGTGCACGGTGGTGCAAGTCGGGACGGCCAATTAGAAGATGGCAGCCATGGTGACAATGACGCACAAGTGGCATTGCCGGTTCCCTTTTCGTACGGTGGGCCGGCAGCAGCCGATTTGATTGCAATGGCCATGCAAGCGCGTGTGCAGACGACGACGATGCAGCGCAATCGGCTGCATTCTGAAACGGACACGGGCCACCTGACGGTGCTTGGTGATGAGCAGGTTACACCCGACCTGGCCAACCTGGACTTGCCCAAGTCGCAGCCGATGAGCCTGCACGCCGCGATGGACGTGGGTGGGGCTGCACCTGCCGGCAAGGTTGCAGTTTCGCCGGATTGGACCCCACAAGCCGTGCGGCGTCACCACCTTGACTCGTTTGATTCGTGGACCGACAGCGATGACCAACGCAGCGGTCATTGGTCCGGTGATCAGCGCAGCGGCGAGCCAGCTGATTCGCACGTCATGTTTCGGGCGGGCGTGGAGCGAAGCACGACCGTGGTGCCGACTGCATTTTCGCCTGCCGCTGTACCGGGCCGTCGGGATGACCACCATAGCCCTGTACCGGACGATCTTGCCAATCTGACTCCTTCCGGCCCTGATTCGCATGCCGACGACCTGGAGCAGCTCTCCTTGTAGACTTGTCTGACTAGTAGTTGGCCAATTTGACTGCTTTTTGCCCTGCGTGTCGCGGGCCGTTCAATGTTTGATATCTGACTGATGCCTGTTTATCTTCTTCTTTTACTCCTCTTCCCCTCTTCTGCTGCCACTACCGCGGCGGTGTCTGATGGTTATGGAAGACATGTTCTGTGTTTCTGGTTTGTGTTTTTGGGTGACGTGTTTGATAGAAAGCCAAGGCTCGTTTTGTGCCGACTTTTGAAAAAAATTGTGATTGCTGATAAGTATGACGCGTGTGTCCTTGTGAATAAACATCGCCAACTGATCCCTGGGCTTGAGATTCGAGCGTGAACGCCGTTGAAGAAACCTTTAAATCTTATTTGTGCCTGCGACCACCTTTGTGGACTGTCCCTGCTGCTGGGCACGTTTGCTGATGATGAAGGGGCAACCGAAGAAATAAAAGTGGGGGGGTGGGAAGGTAGCTCGCCTCGTTGGACGAAAGCATCATCATAATCAGTTGGAACAAAAAAAAAAGTTGAATTCACATGTCAATGGCAGCGGGGACGAACTAGAGTTTAGCCTGGGAACGGAGTCAGAACTGCTCGCCCTTCCACATGCCATGGAGGTTGCAGTAGCCAAAAGGGGTGAGGGTCTTGCCAGCCTCGGGCTGGAAGCTGATGGCAGCGGCGGCGTCGGTGGGAGTGAACTTGTTCATGGCCACGATGTTGCCCTCGGCGTCCTGGACAAAGACGTACTCGATCCAGTGGTCATCCTCGTCCTTCTCGCCCTTCTTCATGACATGGGGCACCTAAACGAAGAAAGATGCCAGCGGTGAGACTCTAGTCGCGGGTCTGTCGGCACAAGCGGCGAGTGTGTGTGCGTGTGTGTTTGTTTTTTTGTTATTTGGTGGGAGGGTGGCCACGAGCAAGAAGCAAATCTGGCTTGTCAGTGGAGTGCGTATGCTTTTTGGCGTCAAGCGAGAACAAAACGAACCTTGACGGTGACGGTGCCATCGTCGTTCTTGGAGACCACGGGAACATGGCCACCGGCCTTGCCCTCCCACTTGCCGGGCTGCTCCTTGGTGAAGATTTCGCCGCCGAGCAGCTCCTTGACCTTGTCAACCCAGGCCTGGGGAATCTCGCCAGAGGCAGCCATGTTGCTTTGGTATCGTTTGGAGAGGGGGAAAAAACCACCTACAAGCCACATGAAGACGCCCATGAGCACCACCACCAATGTCGAGAGGTAAGACCCAGACGAAAGGACAGCTGCACAGAAAGACAGAGAGAGAGAGAGAGAGACCGACAGAGAGAGAGAGGGACGCAGAGAGAGAGAGGGACGCAGAGAGAGAGAGAGAGAGAGAGAAAGAGAGACCGAGAGAGAGAGCGCGAGAGAGGGGCAGAGGAACTGAGGGACAAAGGGAGAGAAAGACAGAGAGACACAAGAGGACAGAGAGAGAGGGAGAGAGGGAGAGACAGAGAGAGATGGA